TTGTTCCTTGATGTCTGGTAAGCCTTCATCCCATCAAGTGGCTGGACCAAATTTCTGATTGGCAGGAGGTTGAGCATATCCCACCCATCACGGTGGGGAAGAGGCAGCATCCCAGCTGATGTGGACCACCAGCACCAGTGCCGTGCACCCCTGCACAGGCAGGCTCGGGGCATTTTCCCAACGCATCCTGCACTTGGTATTTTTGTGGCCAAAGCAGATGCAAGAGCACCACCTCCTGGGCACGGCAAAAAGCGCTGATGGGAAAGCTGAAGGAAGAGCTGCTGCTGCATATTTTGGGCCATCTTGGCTAAACTGTCATCCTGATGGGGGGTCTCCATCCTGCCAGGTGCCTGATGGAGAGACCCAGAAGGGAAAGACGCTGATTTTTGCACTCTGAATTCAGGCAAACAAGCTTGGGAAAAGACGGATGAGCCTGGGGACACCCAAGACCCTTTAAGGAGCCTGAGTGCCCCTGAACGTGTCCATCTTTTCCAGCTATGGGAATTTATCTTGGCAGCATGGGGCTGGATATAACTCAGACAGGGGCGAGGATCCTTGGACCCTCCACTAGCGTGGTGGGAATTTGGCTTCACTAAAGCTTCTTGCCCAGTTCCCTAGGCTGGGATCAAACACAGATTTACTTTCCCCCTCTTTCTCTTCGCCTCATTCCCATCAATACCAACAACTGATGGTGTTTGAGCTGGGGCTGGGAAGAGACGGAACCAGACCTGTCCTGCAGCTGGGGGCACACCAAGGCCACAGGGTAGGGGTCATCACAGCCAACATTTCAGGGACCACTCATGGCACTGAGAGAGGAGAATATAGACATGAACACAGCAATCCCTCCTGAAGCTTTTGGCAACCACTCATTTATGGACTTCCCAAGCCAGAGGCTTCTCCCAGCCTCTCCAGCAGCCACCAGTCACACCAGTGGGTTGTGGCCACATGGCAAAGCTTGTGTGCATCTTGCCACCAAGAATAAATCTGGGATTTTCTCAGCAGGATCCTGGCCCTGCCTGGTGAGGGGATGTGGGACACATCTTTGCTTGTTGGAAATGTCCTTGCTTTGTCGGTTAGGATCTGGCAAAGTGCAGCATGGATTTGATATGGAAATATTGAGCCTATTGTGAGTGTTTGCCTGGCACCAGGCTCACATACAGGTCAATCTTCTGGCTTTGTGTGCTTTGGAAATAAACCCTTTCACATAACTATATAAAAGAGCATTTTCTCTCCTGCCCACCTGGTCACTGGGGTTGCAAAGCTCTGGTGCCACTTTCTGGTTTGGTCCAAAGGATCCTAGAGCCCTTGGCCCTGCATTGGGTTTGAGGGGGCTGAAACTCTGGCCATGAGCTGTACTTCTTAATGTCTGGGAAAAAAATACAGGCAGCATTTAGGGCCTTGCTTTGCCCCTGAATTTGCTGTTTCATCCTTCAGGCACTAACTGACCCAATGATATCACTGAGGAAAGATGCTGCTGCACGTGAAAGTGGGGCAAAGGCACTGAGGAATGCCATGCCCAGGAAAGAATGAAACTGCTGACAGAGCAAGGGCTGTGATAGGCCAAAGATCCCTTTGATTTTGGCATGGTCAAAGCAGCAAAGGGAGGCAGACTCGTTTTTCTAGTGCCTATGTATAGCACTGTGAGCTCATAGTTTCCAACTGTGGAGCATGTGCAGAGTATGGGAAAAAGGAATTTCCACCCCGTCTTGGTGCCAGCAGAGAGCAAACTGAAGCTGGGGAGATGCTTGGCTGCCCCAAATCTGCTCTCAATGGCCCAGGTGACAGGTTCAGCACTGGAGATCTCGGTGGGTACAAGCAGCCCTGGCACCTCCAGCAGCTTCAAGGAGGAGCCAGGAGTTGGGGACACCTACCCCAGGGCTGACCGTGCAACCTCAGCCCTGGCACCATCTGTCTGGAGAGATTTCAGCCTCAATTTCTGACATCTCAAGAAAACTGGTGTAGTGAGTGATCGGGCTTGATCCCCGATCCTAAGCCCCGATGGTGTGGAAGGTGTTGACATGCTCCGGGTTTCCTCCCAGCATGGCTTGAGAGGTCCCCCCTGGGGCACAGGTCTTCCATCAGGGTTTTTTTCTGCAGAGGGTAGATGCACTCTGGCAGCTGCCCCTGCTCACAGGCTGTCAGTGGGGCTGTACCCACCCTTCTCCTTCCACAAACTAGCCCGGTGTTGTAACCACTGCGTCCACGAGGGACTGATACCGCTGCCCACATCTGCACCCAGACACAGGGAACCACCCCTCCTGCCCACGGAGGGACTCCAGGGCCCATCTCATTGAGTTTTGGGTGCCAGGAGTGTGTCCCCTCTTCTGCCTGCCTCACAGACCCTGCAGAGCCCTGGGCACCTTTTTGAAGCTGGAGGAGCACAGGGCTGGGAGTGCTCCTGCAGAGCATCTCTCTACCCCAAGGCAAGATTTCCTCATGCGTCCAGGTTTCTCCTTAAGGTTTTCCATGATAGAGACCCCAGGCCCTCCAGAGCATTCAGGCCCCTTGACAGTGCAAATCCAGGTCCCATGGGTGCTCAGCCAGAGCCAGGGAAGACACAGAGGCAGCTTGAGGTCACCGTGCCTGCTCCAGGGACCTCCTCTGGACGTGGCAAGCAGCACCCAGATCGCTGTGGACTCAGCTAGACTGAGGGTGGTCTGGCTGTCCTGAGGCCACTCACTAGGTTGAGGGATGGCTGGCAAGAATCAAGACTGAGGCAGGAACGATCCACCCTACTGGGAGTTTTTGCAATGTTTTGCAGGGAAGATGCCTCTCAGCTCCTTAACTGGGATTGCATGAGGGATGGGCACCCCTGGGACATGGGTAAGGCCAAAGGGACCCTTCTGTGCGTGGGTTTCCACCCTGCACGTGGCCAAACAGTGACTCATGAGCTGCCTACAGCTGCTGAGATGGCCCAGCATGGGGCTTCTACCTGCCCTGAGCCCCCAGGGCTCCTGCTGCTGCCTGGACCACGGTTGCCAGAGATGCTGGAAATTCCCTCAGGACAGATACCAAGTGTTGGTGACCCCCATGACTGCCTGAGTGTATTGGTTGGAACATTCATTGCCACACCATGGCTCTGGTGAACGTCTGTTGATGTAGAACAGGCAGTGCAGGGCTGGGTGGGTGAGCATTTGAGGGATGAGGAGGGGAGGGAGCATAGGGGATGAAAACATGGCCAGGCTCAGGCATGGGAGTGGTGATGGGTGGAGGAAAGAAGTGTTTGACAGGAGCCCAGCCCCACAGTAGGATGCTGTAGCTCACTTTCCTTTGCAGCAACAGAGGTGTTTGGGGTCCCAGCACCCTCTTTAGTGCCTGTTCCATTGGGGTTTGACCCCAACTCTAGCTTCCCATGATATGAGAGAAAGCAGACAGGACCGTACCTCCTGTCCCTGCCCTCCAATGCCTGACGCTGGCTTCTCTCCCAGTCTCTGGCCAACCAGGTGAATATCAAGGCCTTTAACACCCGAACGAGTTCCTCCACATTCACTCCCTGGGAGCTGCCCCGTCCCTGCTCCAGCTCTTGCACAACGCTCCCGCATGAGACATGCAGCAAACACCTCTGTGTTACAGAGGTGTCCTGGTCCTCTCCTGCCCGGTGCGGAGCGCTGGGGCACAGCCAGCCCTTCTCCTGGGGACAGCAGTGGAGTGTGCATGTAGGGGTCCCTGCCCTGGTGCTCTGCAGCAGGTAAGGGCGGTCTGGGGCATGGAGGAGCATGGGCATCGCGTTAGGGTCTCCTCCTGCGGCGCTTTGGGGGAGCATCAAGGTCATGATTCCTCTGAAACCAGAGCAGGAGCCTGGATCTTGCTTCTCCTGCGCAAGGAGGTGATGGGTCGTCGTGTTTTCATGGCCAGCCCGGTGCAGGGGGTGGCTCCTGCGTGAGAAAATGGCAGACAAGGTGGGGATAGCAAAACCTCCAGAATGGGCTGTAAGGATGTCCACGGGCACAGTCGTGCAGGAGGAAAGGGCTGCAGGTGGGGTTGGGGCTGAAAATGCTACAAGGTCTGGGAAAATCTGCAGGTTTTATGAAGTTTCAGTTCCTGAACTAGTCTAAGAGAGGGGACCTGAGCTAAGCATCCCTCCTCTCCTCTCTCCCTTCCCCCTTCCCTGAAGCTCCCTGCCCTGGGAGACGCACGAGAGACCTTCAGACCTAGGCCAGGTCTGGGATCACAGCAGCCCAGCACTTGCCCTTGCAGCCTGGGCCAGGGTGGGCGCCAGGTGAGCTGCCTGGGCTCTGCCCTCCTTGCCCTGACTAACCAGAGACGCTGGTCTCTGGGGCCTGCTGCCTGGACTGTGATCTGGCGTGACTGAGGAGCAGAGATGGAGATGGTAGTGGCCTGGCCACTGGCCTGGGACATTCTCCAGCAGCCTGGAAGGAGCCTGGCGTGGGTGCTCACTGCCTGCCCTGTTCATGGCACGCTCCTTCCCACCCTGGGGAGTCCTGTGCTCCCACTTGTCCCACTGACCTGGCCTCCCCTCACTGCTCCTGGCCCCTCTGCGTTCCCTGGGATGGGATACTCTCCCTTTCTTTGGCAGGTTTCTCTGTGGGATGGGTGTGCCCACCCCCAGCTCCCCCAGAGCTGGCAGCAGAGCACTGAGGCACTCGTGACACAAAGCTGAATCTGCTTTATCTGTGCCAGGCACCAAGCAGGTGGACACTGCTCCATCCAGGGGTTCATGCCTTTTTCCCCGTGATTTTGCAGCCAGGGTTTATTGCCCCTGGTGGCTCTGGAGCTCAGGTCCTTCCATCATGTCTCTCTTGCCCCAGGGGCCACACCAAGAGGCTTAATGCTCCTGAAAATGACCTGCCTTGTTGAGATCATGACTAGTAGCCATCCACTGCATCTGTTAGGGGCAAGAGGGCACAGGCAAGAGAGCAGGGAGGAGGAGGAGGAGAGATGAAGAGATGGAGCACACCGATCAGTCCATCCGAGACCTTTATTAACCCATCATGCCTCCTCCTTGCAGCTGAGGAACGTGTGTGGCCCTTGGAGCAGGGATGTCGGAGACCTCGTCCAGCAAGGAGGGTCCCCCGGCTGAGTGCCCCGTGTGCTATGAGAAGTTCCACCTGCTGGAGGCCGCGTGCCGCAGGCTGAGCTGCGGGCACACCTTCTGCCACGACTGCCTGGTGAAGTGCCTGCTCTCCGCCAAGCTCGACGGCCAAGTCCAGAGCAGCATCATCTGCCCTGTCTGCCGCTACGTGACTTTCCTCAGCAAGAAGAAGGCTCTGTGGCCATCCAAGGAGGCACTGGAGATGCCGCTGTCACCTTCCTCCTTGTCCCAACTGACTAAGACGGAGGCCAGCAATGCTTTGGTGGTGCCCAGTCATTTTGTGATGCCTGTCCAAAGCTTTGACCGGTGCTGCGGCGCAGGGAGCAGCCCTTCGGGTTTGCAGGGGCTCCCGGGAGAGCTGGCACGGGAAACCCACATCTTTGTCATCAGTGACCACGGGATGCCGCTGGTGGACGTGGACTGCAGCTCCCTGGGAAGGAGAAGCCGAGCGGAAACTCAAAGCTCGGTGTCCTCCAGCACAGCCCTGGGGGTGAAATGCTGCCAGTCACCCATTGCCCTTGCCATTCTCCTTATCCTGACCGTGGCCATGCTGGCAGCTGTGCTCCCTTGGCTACTGCTGGTGAAGAGGGACTCATAGCAGGGATGGATGTCACTGATGCTGGGACAGAGCTGGGGCTGGAACCTCTCTCAAAAGACCCCTGGAGAAATCCCAGAAGTGGCTTCAGATGAAGGTCCCTCACCTGGCTAGGTGCCGAATGGACTTTCAGACCTTTCTGCAGATCTCCGGGTGATCACCATGTCATTGCTGTCATTTTCTGCCTCTTTTGGTTAAAATATGACTGGTTAAACTTTGCTAGCGGGTTCCTCCAGCATCTTAGAGGAGAAGGTGGTCGTTTACTCCCATGTCCTGTGACAACACATGCAGGGGCTGAGAGGGCTGTGCTGGTCCATCCCCTCCAGCCCCACTCCTGGGGGGCTGTGGCCATGGTGCCCAGGTACACAGAGCCCAGGGACAGCCAAGGGCTCTGTGCATTGGAGCATCCTGGATGCCAGGCTGTGGGGTTCTGGAGGTCCCCAAGCTCTTCAGGCTGTCAGGGTCATTGCAGCTTTTGATGCAGCCACCCTGGAGCAGAAACTCTTGACTTTCCATCCCAAAGATGTGAAGATGAATCAAAGCCTTGAGGTACCAGGCAACAAGGGCAGTGAAACGATGGGATGGAGAGAGTGATCCTGGCCCCTGTGAGCTCAGTCCCCACTCCACCAGCCAGCGTTCCCCTCCCTGCCCAGTGATGGAGTGGGAAGGACACCAGCTCACAGCCCCCCCAGGCAGTCCCAGCCTTGCCTTGCTCCCTCACCTCTCTCTAAGCCCCCCAAGATTGTGCCCATTGTCCCAGTGTCCCAGTCACCCCTCCTGCCTGGGGGTCCAGGGACAGGCAGCAGAGTGTGGGGAGAGAGGTAAGCAAAGGCCTGGACTCTGTAAGGGGGCAGGTTTGGGATCCCACCCCACTCTCCTCGCTGGAGCCTTGTGCCTTGGTAGGCTGATCTTCCCTCAGCCCATATCCATCTCCTGAGGGTTCACATTTTCACCCCAAACAGGTTAGGCACCCCCCAGCCCCATGTGCCTCCTGGCTGTGTGTTCTTTGTGACCGGTCCCACCCAGGGCACTCTCATCCCAGGGGCCCTAGTTTGGGAGGGGAGTGGACAGCTGAGATGCACAGCTGAGATTTGGGGATGGGAGCAGAGATTTTTGGAAGCCTCCAATGCCTGCTCTCAAGGGAGGTGGAATTGGGGGCTGCTGATCACTCCCAGGCTGGACCCCTCATTGTGTTTTCCCCAAGACAGTGTTTGCACCTCCGCTGCCACCTTTGTCCTCCTGACCCAGTCCCTGGTCCCGTGGGTATTGCTCTTGGGCCTGTCATTCAGGAATGTGCCCTGAGGGCCACGGTGCTCTCATGGGTGCCCCAAAGTGTGGGTGTCTCTCATAGTGATGGTGAGGGACATGGTTCCTGTGCTCCCAAAGAGGGGTTCCCACAGCATGTCTGTGCATCAGGTGGGATGAGCACAGCCAGCAGTGCCACCGAGGCAGCTTTGGAACCAGCCAGAACATTTCACGGGAACAAATAAGAACCACTTGGGTCTCGAGAGGGGTAGAGCAGCCTAGGGCAGAGGAGCTGATGGCATCCTACCCCTTCCTCTGGGGTTACAACCTGGGCACAATGCCCTGGCTGGGCTGACAACTGCCCGGCTTCTCCCTGCAATGTTTTTACCACACTCACCCAGCCCATGCGTCAGTTTCCCTACCCACACCCGGGATGTGATGACACTAAGCCCTGTGTGGAGCACTGGGAGATTGCCTTGGGAAAAGCGCCTGAGACATGGTGCTGGAATGGAAATCTTACCTCATAAGAAATGATTACCTGATAATGATGCATCCACACCTCATTATTTAATAATAAACCCTGTTATTAATCTGTCTGGGGAATTCGTGTGGGGTTCCAGGGAACCAGCCCCTTGGCAGAGGACTGCTGGGAGGTGGGTGTGGGGAACCCCCCATCTACACCTGGGGTGCTCCCCAGGGTTGGGGCTGGAGGAACCAACTTTTGGCTGCTGTTCTGGAGCCCTGGATATGTTTGAGCAGGGCGGTGGGGACAGGTAAGAGCTTCAGTGGCAGCATTGGGGTGAGGTGGGACATCTGGTACTGTGCTGGGGTCATCAGCAGGACCAGGGGAGAAGGGACCAAGGTTGAAGGTGTTATCAGCAGGGGCAGCCAGTGCCATGGACCCAGAGGCACCTGAGGTGGGTGTCTGGGGGCATCATCAATCCCTTTGGAGGTGACATAGGCATTTACCACAGGGTGGCACTGCTTGGCCATGGATTGTGGGACAGAATCAGAATCACAGACTCGTTCTGGTTGGAAGAGACCTTGAAGATCATCCAGCCCAGCCGTTCCCCAGCACTGCCAGGTCCCCACTGACCCATGTCCCCCAGGACCCAATCTCCACAGCTTGCAAACCCCTCCAGGGATGGGGACTCCACCACTGCCCTGGGCAGCCTGGGACAGGCCTGGATCACCGTTGCAGGGAAAAACTTTTTCATTAAGTCCAACCTAAACCTTCCCTGGCACAACGTGAGGCCCACAGTCATGTCTGCTGCTCAGGGCCAGCTGGTCACCCGCCATCCCCACATCTTCACCAGAACCAGCTCATCTTGAGGCAGCGGGACCTGTGTTTGGTGCTCCCAGAGGCGTGGGTGCCTGTTGTTTCAGGTCAGAGTCTGCCTGCTTCTGGGAAAGATGCTCCCAGCTCCTTCAGATGGAAAAGCTGCCATCATCCTATTTCCTTGTTATTAAAGCTGATGATCAGAGACAGACTTTCCTGAGCCCTTTTCTGCTGATGGTCCCTGGGGAACATGTTTGGATCTCTGGCAAACCAGAGCCCCCAAGCACTGCAGAGCTTGTCCTCCCACCAAGCATGTTAGAAGACACTGGGGCTGTTTCCAGCCCACTCCTGATTAACTCAGTGCTTTGGTTTATCATGGTGACCTGATGTATCAAGGGTAACTCCTGTCTGCAGCTGCAGGACGTGGGTTGGATGTGGTGTTCTCTGCAGACATCCACCCTGCACTTCACCCAGGGCAGGGACATTCTCATGATGCTGCTTTGGTTGCCATGTCCATCAGCAGAGAGGCCAGTATGGGGCTTTGGGCAGCCAGGTGGCCAAATTCTCTGGTGAGCAGCCCCATGCAGCCCCTTGCACTCCTCACATCTCCCCTCAGCTGTGGGCCCCCAGCGTACAGCCCAGCTTGTGATTCAAGCTGGGAGCTGCTGGGGACTCCTGGCAATGCCCTGGGTGCCCTGGCTCCAGTGTGCCCTGGCCTCAGTTTGATGATGCAAAACTGGGAGGAGTGGCTGATGCACCAGAGCTGTGTTGCCATCCAGTGAGACCTGGACAGGCTGGAGAGCTGGGCAGAAAGAAACCTCATCAAGTTCAACAAGGGCATGTGTAGGGTCCTGCACCTGGGGAGGAAAAACCCATGGACCAGGACAGGTGAGGGGTGACCTGCTGGGGAGCAGCTCTGCAGAGAAAGACCTGGGAGTGCTGGGGGACAAGTTGCCCATGAGCCAGCAATGGGCCCTCATGGCCAAGAAGGTCAATGGTCTTCTGGGGTGCACCCAGAAGAACGTGACTGGCATGTTGAGGGAGGTTCTCCTGTCCCTCTACTCTGCCCTAGTGAGGCCACAGCTTGAGTATTTCGTCCAGTTCTGGGCTCCCCAGTTCAGGAGAGACAAGGAGCTACTGGAGAGAGTGCAGCAGAGGCTACAGACATGCTGAGGGGCTGGGAGCAGCTCTGTGACAGGGAAAGGCTGAGAGCCCTGGGGCTGTTGAGCCTGGAGAAGAGAAGGCTCAGAGAGGGGATCTTCTCAATGCTTTTCAATATCTAAAGGGCAGAGGTCAAGAAGATGTTTCCAGACTCTTGTCAGTGGTGCCCAGCAACAAGACAAGGGGCAACGGGCATCAACCAGAACCCAGGAGGTTTCGTCTGACCAGGAGGAGAAAATTCTTTGCTCTGAGGGTGGCAGACCCTGGAGCAGGCTGCCCAGAGAGGCTGTGGAGTCTCATTCTGTGGGGAGATTCCAGACCTGCCTGGACATGACGCTGGGCAGATTGGTCACACCTCTGGGTGACCCTGCTGGAGCAAGGGGGATTGGACGAGATGATCTGCAGAGGTCCCATCCAACCTCACCATGCTGGGATTCTGTGCCTGTATGTCACTGCCATTGCATCCCAAATGCCTCCTTGGCATAGCCAAGGTGGTTTCCCCTCCACACTGTGGGAGTCCCCTCTACACTGACTTACCTGGCCCAGTAATGCTCACTGTCTCCCCTTTCCATCACTGGAAGGGGCTGCAGTTTCCCATCCCTTGCCCTACAAGAAGTCCCAGTGATGATGGAACTGTGCCCTCCTGATGCTGGAGCCATGTCCCCTTGTCAACAGGCAGGAGTCCAGTGGCCAGGCTCTGTTCATCAGCAGCCACAGGCCACCCAAGGCAGTAACTCACTCAGCACATAGTCCAGGCAACCAGCAGAGCCCATTAGGGCAGTTGGTTCCTCATGTGCCTCTGGGGAGGAAGCTAATGGCTCTCTCCTGCAGATGAGGATGGCCAGCACGCATGCACACAAAATAAAAGGTCAGCTAATGGTATTGGCACAGCCAAAGGGCCAGAGACACCGTCCTGCAGGCAGCTCGGAGGAGGGGACACATCCTTGGTGAACAGGGACTTTGCAGGACTTGGTGCTGAGGACAAAGGGTTCTCAGTGGTGAGGCAAGGTGCCGGGAGCTCCAGGGTTGGTTAATTTCTGCATAATGCACCATTAGCAGGAGAAGGTGGCACTTTTACAGCAGGGAGATGGAAGAAGTGGGAATTGCACAGGGCCCAGGAGTGCTCACTGGCCACATATGTCAGCAGGCTCCATTAGGAGCCAGCCTCTGAAAGCCTCAGCTCCATCAGCTGAGATCTCACCATGAATAATTGAGAAGGAGGCTCCTCCGAGGTCCCTCCCCTTTCCTGCAACCAGCCAGGGCTCCTGGGAAGCCACAGAGGCTGGAGTGGGGCTGGTCTGGTTAGTCTGATGTGGCC